CCAAACCCCTCCTTTAAAGTGCAGGCATTGTACTTCCCATTTCCAGGACTCAAGTCCGGTTATATAAATAACTAGTTTCCCTGAATTCATTCACTCCAACAGATCGTCAGGTGACAAATACCATTCGTCTCCATTCACTTCTATCGAACACGCTCATGCACGCCTGCTGGATGTCCAAGCCCCTCGCCCACAAAACCTCCCTTACTACTTCCTTCCAACCTTTCCGAGGACGACCCCTACCCCTACTTTTCTCTAAATGACCAAACCTCCTCAACAACTCCACACCTCCTAATTTCCACACTTAGAATTTTCTGCATAATATTTACACCACACATTGCCCTTAGACAGACATCCCAACTGCCTCCAACAGACCCGTCGGTGCTGCATTCATAACCAACTTCTACAACCCTCATGAGCCTGCTGGTAACTAAAAAAACCCTTTATACATTCCTTCATTCCTTTTCCAGACGATAACTTTTTTTCTCTAAATACCAAATGCCCCAAACTCCACCCCTTTTTTCCCTCTTAAATTTATGATAATATTTCATAAATCCATTCCCCCCGACAGAAAATCTCCAAGTAACTGCAATTCTCGTCTTCCATACTCCTCCCCCCATATTTGATATCCAATACTTTTCTAAATTTTTGCCTCCTGATCACCTTATTTTTCCTATTTCCTCTTCAACTCACCTTTTTCCAGCTTGATGACACTCTTCCCAAACTCCATCCCACTAACCTTATCAAAATTTTTACTCTTCAACCCTCCCCATATTAATCCAATTTTCATCTAAATCATTAACCTCATAAACTTCTCTTTTCTATGTTTGCTTCAAATTTAAATCTTGACCCCACTCCCAAAAACCCACCCTAAGAAATTTACTCTCTTACAACCCCATCATAGAATTATTAAACAAACGGTGACATTCTCAATGATTCCCAAAATCTAAATCCTACCCTTTCTCCCTGAATAGCTTTCCCTCTCTTCTACACACCCCATAATGAGCTATATTAAACAAACTCATTACACTTTTAAAGTAACTTACCAACTTGTTCCATATCTTCAACATCCCAACCTTTGCCTCACTATCCACATAAAAATTCATATGCATTTTACTTAAATTTTCCATAAATGCAAACAACTTCCCTACCTTTATATCTGAAACCTTTCATATTTATGCTTCAATGTAAACACTTGATCTACACATCCCCTACCCACTCTGAAACCTCCTTGCTCATCCACAATCCTAGATTCTGTATTACCTCTAATTCTTTCAATTATAACCCCACTGTACACTTTTCCTGGTATACTCAGTAAAGTTATTACTCTAAAATTTTTACAATCTTTTTTGTCCCCCTTCCTTTTATATAAAGGGACTATACATACTCTCCGTCAATCCCTAGGTACCTTCCCCTCTTTCATACATTTATAAAACAAAAATACCAACCACTCCAACACTATATATACCCCCCTGCTTTTAACATTTCTGTCATGATCCCGTCAGTTCAAGCTGCTTTACCCCCTTTCATTCTACGTAATGCCTCACTCACCTCCCACACACTCACATCCTATTCATCTTCGCTTCTAATAGATGGTATACCTCCCTTGCCAGTGCATTAGATTACCGCTTCCCTTTCTTCGTCGACATTGAAAAGTTCCTCAAAATATTCTCGCCATCTACCCAAAACTTCCATCTCCCCATCTACTAACTCCCCTACTCTGTTTTTAACTGACAAATCCATTCGTTCTCTACGCTTTCTTAACTTGTTTAACTCCAGTTTGTTTTCTTATTTTCATTAAAATTTCTTGACAGTGCCTCTCCCACTCTATCATCTGCTCTCCTTTTGCACTCTCTCACCACTCTCTTTACCTTTCTTTTACTCTCCATATACTCTACTCTTCTTATAACGCTTCTGCTTTGTAAAAATCTCTCATAAGCTAACTTTTTCTCTTTTTTATCACACCCTTTACTTCATCATTCCACCAATCACTCCTCTTTCCTCTCCTCCTGCACCCACCCTCCTATAACCACAAACTTCTGCCCCACATTCTAATACTGCATTTTTAAAACTATTTCAACCCTCTTCAACCCCCCACTACTCATACACCAGCCCACCTTTCTGCCAATAGTTGCTTATATCTCACCCGAACTTCCTCCTCCCTTTGTTTATACACTTTCACTTACCTCTTGCTTGTTGTTGCCATTTTCCTCTTTTCCCATCTACCTCTTACTCTAACTGTAGCTACAACTAAATGATGATCCGATATATCAGTTGCCCTTCTATAAACGTGTACATCCTGGAGCCTACCCATCAACCTTTCATCCATCAATACATAATCTAGCAAACTACTTTCATTACGTGCAATATCATACCTTGTATATTTATTTATCCTCTTCTTCATAAAATATGCATTACTTATTACCAAACCTCTTTCTACACATATTTCAATTAAAGGCTCTCAGTTTTCATTTACCCCTGGCACCCCAGATTTACCTACTAC